AAAATGACAAAATAAATGAAAAATTAGAAATGATTCTAAATCTACAGATAGAAATTCACAAGATTAATACTAAATTGTCAGAAATAGATAACACATTGAAAGGGCAAAGGAGTAGAACTGATGCAATGGAAGACAGAATTAATGAGATGGAAGACAAATACCAGAATACTTTTGGAAAGGGATCAATCAGAAAAAAGATCAAAACAAAATGAAGAAAGCCTAAGGTTCATGTGGGACACCATTGAAAGGAATAACCTACGTGTCATTGGAATTCCAGAACAGGAAGAGAAAAATGAAACCACTGAGAAAACTGTTCAAGATTTGTTGGAGGAGAACTTCCCTGGTATGATGAAACATGAGAATATATCCATTCAGGAAGTCCAATGAACCCCAAAAAGGACAGATTCCCAAAAGAAAAACACCAAGACATATCATCATCAAACTCACCAAAACCAAAGACAGAGAAATAACCATGAGAGCAGCACGGGAAAAACGAAAAGTTACCTACATGGGGTAACTGATAAGACTAAGCTCCGATTTTTCAACAGAAACCATGCAGGTGAGAAGACAGTGGGATGTTATATATAAAACAATGAAAGAGAAAAATTTTCAACCAAGAATTATGTACCCAGCAAAATTGTCCCTCAAATATGATAGTGAAATTAGGACATTTCCAGATAAGCAGAAATTAAGGGAATTTGTTAAAACCAGACCAACCTTACAAGAGATGCTAAAGGAAGTCCTTTGGATAGAGAAGCAACAACAGCCAACAACAACTGACCATTAACACACATGTTGATATAACCCAGAAACCAACCCAACTGTGGAAGTATCCAAAGTAAATAAGCCTACAGGATTGTAAACAGGGAACCAGAGACACCAACTGATAAATGAGGACAACTACAAATCAAAAAGAGGGAAAAAAATCTGTGTCATTACAGAACTTCCAGATGGTAGGGAAGTCAAGACAACTACAAGACAGAACGGACTATTCTAACCTTGGGAAGAAAACCATAAACCACAGGGTAACCTCAAAGAAAAATGATAAACCTTCACATCAAAATAAAAAAGAGGACCAGCATAAATATTCAGGAAATACTAAAACAATAGCAATGAAGGAAGTGATAAAATGATTCATAAACAAAATGAGCTCAGCATAGCAAATTATATGGAACAAAGAAATCGACACAATAAAAAGCACGTGACAAAAATGACAGCAACAAATTCATATCTGCTGATAATTATTATCTGGCAAGGGACTTATTTCTAAGATTGATGGAAAACTCCAATGCCTCAACGACAAAAGAATTAACAATCCAATTGAAAAATGGGCAGAAGACATGAATAGACACTTCACCAAGGAGGATATTCAGGTGGTCAGCTAACATATGAAAAGATGCTCACAATCAAAACAACAATGAGATATACCGTCTCACCCCAGCACTGCTGGCAAGGTTCAATGAGACAGAAAATAACAAATATTGGTGGGGATGTGGAAAGATGAGGACTCTCATACACTGCTTAGGTGACTGCAGTGACACAACCACTGTGGAAAGCAATATGGCGATTCCTTAGAAAGTTGGAATTAGAGATACCATTTGACCCAGCAATCCCATTACTAGGTATATATCCTAGAGAGGTCAGAGCCAGGATAGGAACAGATACATGCACGCTCATGTTCACCACAGCACTATTTACAATAGCAAAAAGATGGAAACAACCTACGTGCCCATCAGCGAAGAGTGGATGACCAAACTATGGTACATACACATACTGGAATGCTATGCAGCACTAAAGAATAATGTAGAGTCTGCAAAACACCGCATAATACGGATGAAGTTGGGGGACATTATACTGAGTGAAATAAGTCAACCACAGAAGGACAAATATAGTATTAGTTCGTTGTTGTGGAGGGTCAAGGAAAGGTTTATATATGGAGGGAAACTTTTTTGTTGGTTGCCGGTGGGGGGAGAGGGGAAGGAACACTGCAAAAAAAAAAAAAAAAAAATGCCACTTTAGTTCTGTGTATTTAACTGTACATAAATTGTATTTCAATAAAATGCATTAAAAAAAGAGGAGGCAACTAGCTACACATTCTATATTCTCCTCCTATTCCTGACTCTCCGTATTTTCTTATTGCTCCAGGCAAATAAAGACCAGCTGTTATTCCTTTAAAAAAAAAAAAAAAAAAAACACAGAAAATAACAAATGCTGATGCGGATGGGGAGAGACTGGGACTCTCATACACTGCTGGTAGGACTGTCAAATGATACAACTACTTTGGAAATCAGTACGGTGATTCCTTTAAAAGTTGGAAATAGAAATACCATTTATCTCACAATCCCATTACTAGGTATATATCCTAAAGAAGCGAGAGCCTGGACAAGAACAGATATATGTACATCCATGTTCATCACAGCACTATTCACAATAGCAAGGAGACGGAAACAACTTAAGTGCTCATCAACAGAAAAATGAATAACCAAACTATGGTACATACACGCAACAGAATACTATGCAACACTAAAGAATAATGTAGAATCTGTGAAATACCATAATAATGTAGATGAACTCGGAGGACATTATGCTGAGTGAAGTAAGTCAATCGTGGACAAATATTGTATTAGTTCAATATTGTAAAAAGTCAAGTTAAGGTTTATATATGGAAGGAAGCTTTCTTTGTTGGTTACCAGGGGTGGGAGGGCAGGGGGAGGGGAACACTGCTAGATAGCTAGAAACAAGTACTGATCTGGTTGAAGGGAAGGGAAATGTACCAAAAGTGAGTGATCAACACAATGGTACTGAGGAAGACGAAGACAGGGAGAGGTAGATGGGAGCTACAGACAACAAAGATGAACCCATTTGCATGTACTGTACTGCACTGTCAATGATGGCAAACATTGATCTTGGATAGATGGATAGATGGGTAGACAGGCTGAATGATCAGGTATGTCTAGGCAGGGGAGAGTACGCCCATGACCATTAACAGGGTTGGCAGAGGATGTTTCTACATGTATATTTGTATGTGCTATAAGAATGTCTGGGAGTACAGTGGAGGTGACAAGGGGCAAGGCTGTGGTGGCTTCTTGGCCACAGCCAGCTACCTGAAGGGAGTAAGTAGCTGGACCTGTGGGCTCAGGGCCATGGTCTCAGGGGACATCAACTTCAACTGGCATAACATACTACACAAAAACACTGTTCTACATCCGACTTTGATGAGTAGTGACCGGAGCGGGGGGTGTCTTAAAAGCTTGCAAGGGGCCATCTAGATTCAACAATGGGTATCTCCTCATCCAGAGCAAAGAAGAATGAAGAAAACCAAAGATGCATGGAAACAGTTAGTCCAAGAGACTAGCAGAGCATGTGATTCTCAGCCTATATGACCATGAAACCAGAAGAACTAGATGGTGCCCAGCTACCACTGTCAAACCCTCGGAAAGGTATCAGAGCAGATCCTGGATAGGGTAGGAGAATAATGTGGAACAAAACTCAAAATCATAAAAAAAGACCAGATTTATTGGTCTGACAGAGCCTGCTGAGACCCCCAAGACTATGGCCCCTAGTTACTCTTCAAGCCTGGAACTGAACTCACACCTGCAGCTTCTAGCTAAACAATATGCAGCCACATAGGGTGAACATCTACTTCAGGTAGATACACTCCCTGGAGCTATCAATCGTGCAAGAACAGAAGGGCAGTGTTTGCACAGAGAGGGATAGCTCAAGGGAGTGGTAGTGCATATGAGTGAAGGACACAGGAAAAGGTAACTACAGGGAGGAAGTGGGAAGAGAGCTGTTACACTGTGGGGAATTGCAGTCTATGTCATGAAATTAAACGTGTATCAACTGCTGAATGGAAAATCAGTTTGCTCTGTAAACTTTTACCCGAATCACAACAAAAATTAAACAACAACATAAAAGAAGTTAGGGAAGTTATTCTATGGCTATCTGGGGAAGGGAGTTGGAGGGAATGGAGGTAAGGATGAACAAGCCAAAAGGGCAGAGATACCCTCAGAGCAGCACCCTTCTTCATGTTCTAATAGGTTTGGATTCCATAACAGTTTTCATTTCAATAAAGTGGTCATCGCCTTTTTGTGTTTTTAAACTTTGAATACCTCTGCTAGAAAACTTAGTAACAGGTCATGAATTTCTATGCAAAATATACCATATTACTTAAAAAAAAAAAAAAAGAGGGGTATATGTATATGTCTAGAAAAGATTGAAAGACTGAAATATTTATATTTAATAGTGGCCTTCTTTAAATGTTAGGATTATGAGTGATTTTTATAGACTTTTCTATATAACTATTTTGAACATAAAATAACTAATCACTTGTTTTCAAAATACCTAACACGGATGATTTTACAGGGAAACATACCTTTTTGAGCCTTAGCTGTTATTTCAAAATATTTGACAGTAAGATCTTGAATAGAAAGCACAGCCATGTGAGCTTTCCGCTGCCAATCAGCATCTTCTTTTTGCAGACTTTCAATTCTTCGAGGACCCAGATAATCATTCTCCATGGAAATCTTTAGAGAGAAAAAATAAAAAGTAAGATATTTTATCCATTCCTCAAACATTTACTGAATGTTTATGTGTCAAGCACCATCTCTGGTACTAAAACAAAGGTAACACTGCTCCTCGCAGCAGAGTAGATCTTTGTCTATGAAGCCACTAATTTACAAAAGAAGTAAATTAACAATGATGGTGAAGATATCTGACATAGAAATCTATTCATATATATTATGTGAAAACCAAGTTATAAAATCATTTTCTCTTTCTTTTACTGTTATGTATCCCTTTTTCTCTCTCACACACACGTACACATGACTACTTAATTTACATATATATGAATATTAAAATCTTTTTGTCAAATATATGCAAAGTATATATATCAAAATGGTAAGTAACACTGATTATTGTGAGTGCCTAGATAGTAAAAAATTTGTTTCCTCCTTTACAGTAAGTACATTTTCAAGGTTAATTATTATTTCTGCCAATAAAATACTTAAGTAATAACTGACATTAAATAAAAGAACTGAAAAGTCACAATTTTAAAATTGATAGTATATAAAAATCAGATCATCTGCATACTAAAAGATTCAGGATACTGATAACATAAAAAAACTAGCTATGTATTATTTAGAAGTCATAACTAAAAGGACAAAAGAAAGTTGAAAATCAAACAGGGGGAAGTGACATCATTAAGATGGTAGATTAAGAAGCCCCATGCTCTCATTCTTATGAAGAAACATAAACAAGCAGAAACTTCTAGAAACAACTTTTTCAGAACTCTGGAAAACAGTCAAAGATTTACAACAAGCACGAGAATGCTGAATCAGAAAGAGAAAATTAAAACAGTAGGAAAGTATTTGGCTTTTTAACTTGTGCATACCCAAATTCCTCCCTGGTTTAGGGGCCTGCTTGAAAAGAACAGCCCATGTTTCCAACACAGATTACTAGTCCCTGGTTACAGAGGGAGCAGAGCAACCTTATTCACAGATTGAGTGTCTCTGTTCTAATTTGTGACAGGGTTAACTAAGAGACTGAAACAGGCTCTTATCTTTGTTTCACCCATCTTGCATTGATCGCAGGACAAGAGGCAAGTATTGTCTAAAACACTGTAGCCATCTAGTAGTATAACAGTGCAATCGAGATATTTAATACACTGCCCAAGCACTAAAGGCAAAGCCAGGAAGACAATTTTCTTGGGAAATTTGTATTTGTTCTTGGGTACCACTGAGTTGATTCAGACTCATGGTGACCCTATGTACAACACAATGAAACACTGCCCAGTCCTGAACTCAATCCTTGCTATGCTTGGTCCCACTTTTGCAGTCACTGTATCAATCTATCTCATTGAGGGTCTTCCCCTTTTTCACTGACCCTCTACTTTACATGATCTCCTTCTCCAGGGACTGGTTGCTTCTGACAACATGACCAAAGTAGGTGAGACAAGTCCGGCCATTCTTACTTCTAAGGAGTATTCTGGCTGCACTTCTTTCAGGACAGATTTATTCATCCTTCTGGGAGTCTATGGTATTTTCCATATCAAGGTCCTAAATTGAAAAGCTAAAATTATAAAAAAAAACATTTAGAAACAAACATAGGGGCTTTGGGTTGAACAGTGGATTCTTAGATGCAACACCAACAGCATGAAGAGCAAAAGACAAAATAGACAAATGAAACTTCATCAAAATAAAAATCCTTTTGTTCATCAAAAAGGAGCTCTAGTGGCACAGTGGTTAAAGCATTCAGCCACTAACCAAAAGGGTTGTGGTTCGAATCCACCAGCCACCCCATGGAAGAAAGATGTGCCACAGTCTGCTTCCGTAAAGATTTATAGCCTTAGAAATCCTATGGGGCAGTCTGTTGTTGTTGTTGTTTGCTGTTGAATCGGACCTGACTCATAGTGACCCCTCCTTGGGTTTCCGAGGCAGTATCACTACGGAAGTAGATTGCCCCATCTTCCTTCCGAGAAGTGGCTGCTGGATTTGAACCGCCAGCCTTCTGGTTAGCAGTCAAGTGCCGTAGCCACTATGCTACCAGAGCTCCCAGGGGCAGTCTACTCTGTTCTAAATGGTCATGATGAGTTGGAATTAACTCAATGGCAATAAGAGGATTTTGTTAAAATGATTTTATCAACGCACTGAGGAAAAAAAACCTACAGATTGGGAGAGAATTTTGGGCAATCATATATCTAATAAGGAGTTGATATCCAAAATATATAGACTTCTACAACTTAAAAACAAAGAGACAAACCATTCAATCAAAAAATGGGCAAAAGATTTGAATAGACATTTTACAAAAGAAGAAAATAAATGGCCAATAAGCACTTGCAAACATGCTTACCATCATTAGTCTTTAAAACCAAAACATCAAACCCATTGCCGCTGCGTCAATTCTAACTCACAGTAACCCTATAGGACAAAGTAGAACTGCCCTATAGGGTTTCCAAGGCTGTAAACCTTTACAGAAGCAGACTACCACATCTTTCTCCCAGTGAGTGGCTGGTAGGTTTGCACTGCCAACCTTTCAATTAACAGCCAAACTTTTTAACCACTGCACCATCAGGATTCCTTTATTAGTCACCCCAAAAAGCCAAACTCACTGCCATCCAGTCGATTCTGACTCACTGTGACCCTCACTGGGTTTTCAAGGCCATAAATCTTTATAGAGGCAGATTGTCTCATCTTTCTTCAGTGGAACAGCTAGTGGGTTTGAACCACCAACTTTCTGGGTATCAACCAAATGCCTTAACCAACTACACCACCAAAGATCCTTTCATTAATCATTAGGAAAATGCAAATCAAAACCACAATGAGACATCACTACATCCTCCCTAGATGGCTATGATTTTAAAAAAAAAAGACCAAAAAAAGAAAAACAACAGGTGTTGGTGAGATGTGGAGAGATAAGAATTCTCATGTATTGCTGGTAAGATTATAGAATGGCAAACCCACTGTAGTAAAGTCTAGCAGTTCTTCAAAAAGTTAAAGAATTACGAAGATGCAGCAATTCCACACCTAGCTATACACTCAGAAGAATTGAAAACAAGGGCTCAAACAGATACTTGTAAGCCAGTATTCACAGCAGCATTATTCACATAGCCAAGAGATGGAAACAACCCAAGTGTCCATCAGCTGATCAAATGACAGACAAAATATGGTATATACATACAATGGAGTATTAACTAGCCATAAAAACGAATGAAGTTCTGATACATGCTACAGGATGGATGAACCTGGAAAATATTATGCTAAGTGAAATAAGCCAGGCACAAAGGCCAAATATGTATGTATGATTTCATTTATATAAAATTTATATATAAATTTCATTTATATAAAATATATAGAACACACACATTCATGGAGACAGAAAAGCACATGGTAAGTTACCAGGGGCTGGGAGGAGGAAAAAATGGGGAGTTATTGCTTAATGGGTACTGGGCATGATAAAAATGTTTTAGAAATAGATAGTGGTGATGGTTGTCCAATACTGTAAATATAATTAATGCCACTGAATTGTACATTAAAAAATGATTAAAATGGCAAATTATTTATACATATATATATATAGTCACAATTATGTTTTTAAAAAATCAAATGATAGATAAGCATATACCAGGCAAACACTAAAAGATAATTTGCAGAAGTGATGATATTAATATTAAAGTATATTTCAAAGCACTGCACAATTATTTTTAACATGGAATAAAGGTGTAGTTCACAAGAAGAGAGCAGCAATGGGTCTCTTGTATACAACCCTTTTTCACTAAATACAGAGAAAAGACTGTTAAAGATTAAATGAGAAATTATTAAGATGATGGGGGGGAAAAAATCAGAGACAAAAGTTAACCTACTCTTGGAATACTTTAAAACCCCCTGCAGATTTAATGTCATTAAGCCACTAACATTTTTGTAATAAATTTTGAAAGTAGAAATAATACAGACCACATTCTATAAACAATGCAAGAAACAGATATATTAAAAAAAAAAATCTCTCTGAAACCAAATATAAAATATTAATAACTTGGAAATTTAACACCCTTAACACTGAAAGGTAATGTTCGCTTTTAGTCTTGAAGCAACAAACAGAGTAATCCAGATAGACGATAAAATATGAAAAAGTACTTAGCATGATACCCAGCAGCATGATACAGGGAGCAATTTATTAGCAGTGTTAAGGGAAACACCAACAAGGCTAGAAGAAAGGTCAAGAATAACCACAGGGTTACTGAGGAAAAAATGTGCATGTAAGTGCCCTTTACTCTAAAAGTAAGCAATGGAGAAGCAGTAGATTTTGTAAGAGACAAGACCAAGGATTTAGTTTTGTGTATGTTAAAAGTCTGACCTTAGAGCGGGCATAGTCAGAGTCTGGGTGTCCCTGACACACGAAGACATGTAAAAGCAAATGAGGTCACCTAAGGAAGCCTTGAGAAAAATGCTCATAATTGAGTCCTAAGGAATTCTGACACTGGGAAACTGGGTGAAGAAGAGCCTGCAGAAACCAAGCCAGAGCAAGAGGGGAAAGCAAGAAAGTGAGAAACCACAGTAGTAGCAAGAACCAACCAGGATAATGACTACTATACATGGACCTAACAGCATGAAGATCACTGAACAACACAGTAATAACAATTCTAGAGTTCTAGAGTAACAGGTAAACTCCCTTTGCTTATCAACCCCCATACCATTTTCAGATCTCAGCTCAATTACTAGTTCATGGAAGTCTTCCCTGACTCATTATAACTTCTTCAGTGTAACACATACACTGAAGGACTTATCACAATCATATTTTACATTATTTTATAAACTTACAAATATTACTGCTTCCCCCTCTGTAAATACGTAAGCTTTAGAGGCTGCATTACGTTTTTTTTTTTTTTTTTCTTTTGACGGTGGAATAGACCATCAATTGCTCATACACAAGTTCAAGTTGGAGCTGAAGAAAATTAAAACAAGTCCATGAGAGCCAAAATATGACCTTGATTATATCCCACATGAATTTAGAGACCATCTAAAGAACAGAT